ATATGCCTTTTTCTATAAACTAATCAGGATGATCAAAGCCGAATGTAGTTGGATATGGGACTGACTTGCAGGTTTTGCAACCGCTCTTGGACGTTGTGGTGCGTTCCCTAGTCTGTTTGTGCCTGAACCGTATTACTTTTTTCACGGGTGTTGATTTTGGTCTTGGTGTAGATAGCGTACTTGACCTGGTCGTCCTAATATCCTGGCGTAGATTACTAGTGATTTTTGGAATAAGCGGTCGTAAAGAATGACCGGGAAGGTCCATATCAGACGGCTCACGAAATCCCAAGCCTACAAGGCGATGCGAGTGGCAGAGTGGAGGTCACATTTAGAATTAGGTGACGTGGAAGCATTTGTATATACCCTCCTACGGTAGATGCCGCGTGGAGAATCAATTTTATCAAGAAAAAGTATGCATGCCAAGAAGAATATCCATTGGCCAACTCCTAAGTGGTTCCCGGCAACCCGATGTTACAGCTCAGCCCTACGATAGGGCTTGAGTAATTTGTGGTTTATTCAATTAAGGTTGCATCTTTCATGTATTCTGTATTTATAGTTACCCGAATCATAGGAATGAAAGCCTTACTTATGCGCTTAAGAGATGCCGTCTCACCATATATACAATCTCGTCTAGACATTGTGGTCTCATCTATACAAGCGAGGCATTTAATGTTGTGGGGAAGAACACCAAATGAGAAGAGCATTCTGCTGCATTGTGGATACCAGGTCATACGAAAAGATATGATTCTGGCTGACTCGAATATGGGAGGAAAGGCTCACAAATCTGAAATGCGTAATAAAAGGGGACCTAGCCCTGTCCGACTTAACGGGCATTCCCAACCCAAAGACGAGAAATATAGGAAATGAACTGCGACGGCTCTTTAGAGAGTTCAAGAATGATAAATTATGATTGGAGGTAGAATCAGAATGCATGGGATAATATCGGCATTTGTATCGCTATCTATCTGTCTGTATTTGAACCTCAAAACGGATCCATTCCACAAAGCCAGATGCCCTGCCCAGCAAGGGGTTCCCTCCATTCATCCACCATCTCTGCGAATCCTTGAACGCCAAAGAATGCATATGCCGATGTTGTATATCCTCGCACCGGAGTCGGTGCTGATCGAGCAGGACAAAGGAAAATGGAAGATAAGTATTCATATCCTCAAGTCTAGCAAAGAGAATATATATATGCATTAAAAATCGTAAGCATCTCGAAATGCGATGGTTTTGTATGCATTGACGGAAGGAAATATAAATGAGGGCGTCGTGTAACCATTGTGTTGCCATATTAATACATCGGCGGAAGCGATAGTGTCAAAGGTAATTCCTTATATCGTACACGTTATCACTGTTTCGCCACTTGCCGTGATCAGTAACGGTTCACGCTGTTAGAACTAATCTCTGCTCGCTTCATTGGTGGAGGTGGAGGTGGCTTTTTCGATCTGCTGGGTGGTGGAGGTGGCGGTTGCTTTCTTCCGTTGGTGTTCAAATTTTCCCTCGCGGCACTACCATGACTTGTAGCAGGACTGACGCTTCTTGCACCATACGACCGATCTGGACTCGCACTGTTTAGCGTTGAGTCGTCCGACGGGTCACCAAACAAATCATTGCCACTAGTATTTATGCGCTGTGTTGGTCGAAGTTGTGCCCGAAGAGCTCCAGCATCGCCGATGTTGGAGTTCTGGCGGCTGATCGGCGACTCGCGGTAGATGGAGGTTGGACCTTGGAACGTGGAGGAACGACTCATGCTCGGGCGTTGAGCCTGTGGAGACTCGACCGCGTAGTCGTCGTTGGTATTCAGACGTTCGAGACGGGTGCTTAGATGAGTTGATGGGACTCGGCTTCCCGACCGGATGGATGGCCGAACTGGCTCGGGTTCTGCAGGTTCATCGTTGTATCTTTCGTGGTAGGAATGAGCAGTATTTGCCCGCGGTCTAGCAGCGGGACGCCTCTGGTTACGACCTGGAGACGAAGATGTGTTGCTAGAACTATTAGCTTATTTTCATCAGATCAACGTATGTACCTACCCAGCAGGCCAATCTCTCTTTAAACGGAGGAGTTCATCGCGGCATCTATCGTAGTATTCCAACTCGGCATCCAAGAAAGCCCCAAGATCCGCGACGCTTTCCGCCTCCGCCTCCTTGATGTCCTCCATACGTCTGAGAACATCCTCGCTAGACTCTTCGTATTTGGCTTTTTGTGATCGAAGCTCTTCTTCTGTTCTGAAATCCTCCTTCTTGGCTTTCTGCATTTTCGAGAGGGAAGCATCATAGGCAAGTCTACGATTTTCGAGCTTCTTTCGTGCAGCCTAGATGCGTTAGGATAGCTTGGAGATATTGTTGTCTAATAGACATACCTGATACTCCTTCATCATAGCCAAGGAACGCTCCAGCGACTCAAGCCATCCATTTGTAGCATTCACGACATAAGTCTCCTGCAATCGTGCGATACGATCATTCGCTCTTCCCATACCTATAATAGTCAGTATAATTCGTCCTACCCACGCCAATATACGCACTGATCAAGCAATTGCCGAACTCGGAGTCAGGCTCAAAGTCCTCGCCATGATGCATCATGGTATGACCCAAATATGCCACCGGCAGGACCTTCTCCCTCTCCTCTATCTCGTTGCGCTTCGAGAGGGACTTGACGTAGACGGTCATGGACTTGTGCAGCTTCTCCATTCCTAGAAAAGGTTAGAAATGGTGGCGGTATGTATGTAGAAGGCGTACCATCGTGCCTGAGCGACATCTCTGTCTCCAGCGCCTTGAACTCGTCCGACACATTGGTCTTGGACTCCGCGCCCATCTTCTCTCCGGCCCATTGCTTCACTCGATCAAGCTTCTTGTTGATGTTCATTTTTGTGATTGATTGCGTGCGGGGAAAATATGATTGATGTAGGGTATTTGAAAGATAATCTGCCTCCTGAAGGAAGGAAGTGGATTTCTGTAGCTCCTTTGCCGGATTGGCCGGGGGGGTGAATGCGTTGTTGATTTTATAACGTTCGTCGTCAAAGGGCAACGCAACCACGATCTACTGGTGGTGCCGAACCCCTGTCCCAATACCAAGGATCGCAATTTGTTGATTTTACCCAAGAGATTGGCGATTGCTGGAGCAATTAAGCCGGTGAATTTGAGTGAGACAGCGATGCGGGTTGTGGGATATTTGGGATTAAATGCAGAAGCAATGCAGAAGAAAAAACGAGCGAGGTGTCCCCTTAGAAGGAATGCGGATTCGGCGGAATTTCGAGAGAGCACTCGAGGCTGTCGGAAGGATTTGTAATGGATTTTGAGAGAGTGTGAGAGAGGGAAAAGGAGGGTCACAATCAAAAGAGAGAGTGAATGTGGGAAGATGACACAGTGAGTACTGTAGGAGGTGGTAACAGGTATTTGGGATTGTGTGTGTGAGTGTGTAAGAGAGGAGAGATGGTAACTTCCGGATCGGATGGGGGGGGAAGGCTGGTGCTGATGCTGATGCTGTTGCTGGTGGATGATGTGTAATAATAACGTTACAGATAATTCATGCAAAAGTCGAGAGAAGAAAAACGAGAAATTGTCGAACGATCATACCGGATGGTGGAATTATATATCTTTCATCTTTATTTGTCTTTCAATTCTGTTCCTGTTCCTGTACCTGGCCTGTTCCTGTGGCTGTGAATGGACGCATCTCCCAAGCCAAGAGCCCGCCACTAGATAAACGTTCGTGTGTGTACGACCACGAGTACGACAGGAGGTTGTTATCCCTGGTTGTAACCACTCTTCTTCTGCTGCTTCTTCTTCTTTTGGTATACCTCCTCTCCTCAAACGCGCGCTCGCTCGCCGTTCGTTGGACCAGAGGCGACAAATAAGAAGCTGACTCTACGTCAGAGAAGGGGGGGAGGGGAGGGGAGGAATGTGCGCCAATTGATGCGTACACATATATTTTATTATATTACTTTATCCCCATAAATGCGTGCATTCCTTAGATATCATCAAACAGAACTTTTTGATGAGGGGGATATTTTCCCTCTAATCAAATATACCTTGGACTATCTGATGATCCATTCATTGAAAAATAAATAAATAATAAATAATAAATAATAAAAATGGCTGAGAGGCGTCGTACTGTATTGTAGTGTATGCAAGGTCCGTCGCAGGGGGGCCCGACAACCCGACACGCTTTTTAAGGTTACCACCACTACAACGTAGGCGCAGCATCATCTTTTTTGGGGATCGCTCCATGGCCACTCAATTCCCAAGTCACGGCAAAATCCCAGACTTCTTCCGCCCTTTTACCTCTTTCCCAACCCAACACAGCGCTTGATGAAGGTTTTTGCCACAGATCCTCACAGAACCTGTCCTCTCTCTCTCCATGTTTCTTGGTTTGCCAGATGATATTCATTTGATTCGCGATGATCAAGCCCGGACATTCCTAACCATGAAACGGACTATATATAGAATTTTACTTGGTTTCGAAAGAATCAATCGAGTTTAGGTCGAGAAGAGAGGGTGGAGTCTGGTGGTTTTCCCCTTTTTCTGGCGTGAACCACCACCATCCAGCTGCCCCGTCGTGACGCCGATGCTGTCGAAGCCGCTGGCGTGACCTCCCATCACCCCACCACGTAATGCTTGATCCATGGCCAGAACTCGTGCACTGATATGGATTGGAAACTAAATATATATATACATATAAAAAAAGAAAGGAAAAAGAAGTGATTGCAGGAATGAGTGTGCAACAATTTTTGAAATAGAAATACGCGAGAGTTGCATTATTATCCATTTCAGTGCCGGAATGCCCGGAGCAGAAGCGCTCCTGGCTGAATGTATGAAAAGTTTACCGTAAGAAAGTTAAATCGTACAGGAATCTGAAGTTATTCTCCCCTTGTGCATCCTCTTTTTAAAGTAACCAGTTCATTTGAAACATTGGAATGGAAAGCTTATTATACTTGGCAACCAAAAGGCATCCTCCCAAAAAGACAAACTGTGAAAGGAAGAAAAAAAAAAACTTTCAAGGAAACTTGTCCTCGGTGAGACTCGAACTCACGACCTTTGGATAGCCCCAGGGTTTATCCGGATCATATTGAAGAATATGAGACCAACGCTCTAACCAACTGAGCCACGAAGACTGAAAATGTTTTGTTGCGGACGAGGTTATGTTAATTCATGACTGCTGTACATGCAGCCAAGACCCCTTTAAGACATCCGTTCACATGATGTCATCATGCCATCTCATCTTGTCCTTCCTTTCACCATCACAAGAATTCATTTCGATTAACTAGTGTTATAATTGTTCTCTTATGAAAATTATTGACTCCAAATCAACTATTGAAGAGTTTGTTCCTCAAGACTCCAAACCAGCCTTGTCAATAACGAGCATCTCAAGCTGGACTAGAGGCTGTTACCCAACACCAACAAGGCTCCCCTCCGCGTATCGCCAGCATGAGCGGCTACGGAGGGCATCGTAGCGATGAGTCCAAATCTGGTGCCTCCATCCTCGCAGCCTTCATTCCGACATTCACTACAGCCATCGTCTACATAGCCATTTTTGTTCTCATCCGCCCAAAGTCCCAAAAGTTCTACGCCCCGAGAACTTTCCTTGGCACCATCCCCGAGAAAGATCGTACTCCAGGCTCGAGAGCCAGCGGGAAATCGTGGTTCCATGACTTCAGGAGCCTTCCTGACCACTTTGTGTTACAGCATAACTCTCTTGATGCCTTTCTCTATTTACGCTTCTTGAAATTTATCATTGCGTTGTGTTTTTTTGGAGGTTGCATCACATGGCCAATCCTCATACCAATTCACGCTACTGGCGGAGGTCGATCAAGTCAACTTGACAGGTTTAGCTTTAGTAATATTGCTCGAAATGACTATCTTTGGGCTCATATCGCAGTGTCTTTCGTGCTATTTGGAGGCACCTTCTGCCTCATTGTGAGAGAACGTTTACAGCTTATTGGAGCACGCCAAGCATACCTGTTAGATGAAGCAAGAGCCAGACGATTGTCATCGAGGACGGTACTCTTTCTCCATGTACCTCAGGGAGCCCTGGATCCTGGAAATTTGAAGGAGTATTTCGGCCAGGATGCAGAGCAATCATGGCCGGTTGAAGATTGCCGTAACCTAGACGACCTGGTGGAGAAGCGGAAGGCGGCAGCGTTCAATTTGGAGCGCTCCCAGCTCGATCTCATAAGAGCCACCAGCAAGCACTTTCGTAGAGGCCAGCAGGTCCAGGAAGCCGCTACTTCAGCCGAAGAGGAGGCCCTCCTCCCAGGACCCAAAGCACTTCAAAAGGTCCTCCCTCTCACTAGATCTATCCATGACAAAATCAAAAGGTCACTTGCTACTGTGGTCGAGACATCAGAAAACATCGATAATCGTCGAACAACAGGAAATAATAATTTGTCAAGACATTCAGCAATATTCGTTAGCTTCAAAACGCAAGCTGCCGCCCATACAGCGTACGAGGAGATCTCATTTAAGCCTAATTTGCCCAACCATACACGCTTTTTGAATGTTCAGCCCAAAGAGGTTCTTTGGAAAAATCTGGCAATGCCTCCTGAAGCACGAGTGTCCAAAGCTTCACTCGCCCTATCTTCTGCAGTTGCCTTCATAATTTTCTACTCTATCCCGTCAGGTCTCATTGGTACACTCAGCAATGTCAGCTACTTGGCTGAGAAAGTCAAATGGCTTAGATGGCTCGAAGATCTGCCAGATTGGGTGCTGGCTCTCCTTACCGGCCTTGTCCCACCAGCACTCGTCAGCTGGCTTCAGTCCTACGTTCCAAAACTATTCAGGCGTAAGCGTAACTCGTTTCGTTTGTCTCATGATCGCTCGCTCACCTCATTGCAGATATCGCGAAGCTCAGCGGCGAGCCTACAATTCCACAAGCGGAGTTGAAGACCCAAGCATGGACATTCGCTTTCCAAATTATCCAAGTATTCCTCGTTACAACCTTCTCTTCTGGTGCTGCTGCTGTGGCGAAGAAGACTATCAACGATCCTATGGGTACACCAGCTCTTCTGGCAGAAGCACTACCTAAAGCAAGTAATTTCTACCTAACCTACTTCACCCTTCAAGGTACAGCTGGCGCAGCAGATAATATCCTCAACTACTCCGACCTCCTCGAGTATTGGTTCTTTAGATACGTCTGGCACAAGACCCCCAGAGACCAATTTGGTGATCATGCACAGATGAAGGGTACTCCTTGGGGGTCATGGTATCCCAAATTCACGAATCTATTCGTCATTGGTAAGTTTGCGTATAACCTGGAGATCCTCTAAGACTTGCTCATTTTGAGTAGCCATTGCATACGCCTGTATTGCACCATTACTTCTCGGTTTTGCGGTCGTCGGCATCTCACTCCAGTACCTCGCTTACCGATATAGCCTCCTGTATGTCCGCCAAACAAAGGTCGACACGCGTGGGGAGAACTATCAACGCGCTCTTAAGCAAATGGTTACTGGCATCTACCTGGCTCAACTTGTTCTTATTGGTCTTTTCGGCGCCCGCAAGGCAGGCAAACAGGCAACAGTCATGACTGCACAGTTGGTCATCACAGCTATTCTAAATGCAGCGGTTGATCTCAAGGTACGACCGCTGGAACTCTATCTAGGCAGAGATAAGTGGTACACGGATGAAGCGCCACTTATCGCACAAGTGGAAGGCATAGATCAGGACGATGAGGAACAGGTGCACGTCTCCCAGCATATTCGACGGCTGGGCCTCCAGCCCCTTGGAAAGAACATATCGAGCTGGCTGTCTAATTTTTTAGACGCGGCTATCGGCTCGTCCCGCGATCGTATCAATACATGGATGCATGAGCCGAGGTCGAGGCACTTCGATGATGCGGAGCAAGTTGAACTCAGCAATGACGAGCTGGAGAAAGCATACGAAAATCCAGCGCTGACGGCCAAGACGCCGAAACTATGGGTTCCAAAGGATAGGCTAGGCATTTCCAAACAGATTATTGAGGAAAATAAAGAAGTGGGTATACAAACCACGGATGATGGTGCGGAGATTGATGACAAAGGAAGGCTACACTGGGAGAGAGATTTTGAGAAGGTACCCATTTTCTCACAGCCGAAGATTATATGATAATTTGTGAATCACTTGAGAAGCTATGTATGATTGCGATTAATTTGGACTATATTATCTGCCGTACCATTTACAAGAAAGGAATTTTGGGGGGGGACCTCAAACGGGGAAACGAATCTAGGCACACAATATTGAATTGGCAAGGCAACATTTTAATTTTACAAAGCTCTCCGAATACCAAGTCTTGCAAGCGTCCTTACCGTTCTACAGCAATGTGCGTTAATTTTTGAGATATTCAGACGCAGGTAGCAGCGACTATGACCCTGACAACGGCAGTTCTAAGCATAAAAGCAAGACCTATCCACTGCGCTAATTTTGAAGGCTACGGGTCTACCAGTTATGCATATCAAGATCCGAAATCAGACATGGCTTGGGCACGTGGAATATAGGCCCCTTGCTTTAGTAAACTATCACTATTTGAAGGATTTCCACTTCTTACGCCTAGCACGCATTTGTGAATGGTGTTCTTGGGCCAGCATGGTAAGAATGAGACGGTTGTGCTTTTTTATACTGGAGATTAGGAAAGTCGAAGCCAGCCTTGCAGTGTACATAAACTTGGAGGATTGTGCAGAACTGCGCATTGGGGCATTGGGATCCTGTTTTCCGATGAAGCATGTCCACGGCCGCTGATCCTGCAAGTTGGCTTGGTAGCGTGCGTGGTCCTAAATGATATATAATGCCGGGAAGCGGAAGGGCGGCTGCCCTGTCAAATCAGATCACGCTTAAACTGGGAAGATCCATTAATATATTTGTATATCTTACGATTCTTTCTTGTCGAGTTTGCTGAATCCACAGAATTAACCTATCGTGCTAGACTAACTCGTACAGGACAATCATTGCTACGACCGTTTAGATGAAGAGAAGGACCGTGTGGACAAGATTCCGTCGAGACACCCGGGTCCCTACGGTGGCCAAAAGTTGATATACGATGATCTAGCGTTGCGGCGAGCTTACGATGCAAGAAAAAGTCGTCAGCACACAAAGACGCCAACACAGCAAAAATGACAGAATTCGAAATCAATACCACAACGCGCATCCATGGCCTTGGATAACCGACTGCGAATCCTCCAAGAAATAAAAATGCCAGGAAGCAAATTGTCGACCAAAAGACGTGAGATGCGCAAGGCGTACTATTATCGAGAGGGTCAATGTAATGAAGCGCGGAGAGATATTTCCTTCTGAGCGTCTTGCAGGTAAAGCTGATGTTTGCAGACACTTTAGATGTTGCAAACTCGAACATGCGCACCAATCTTATCGACATTTTGCTGGATTTGAATGGGAAATAGTAGATTGAAACAGTCGGAGCTTTGTTGCTGAAATATTAGAGAGTCCACGATTATCTACTTCTCGTCCTCTTACGAACCATTATCAGCATCGGGGCATTGTGTAACATTGGGCTGCGGTGAGGCAACGGCGAGGCATCCAATTTGTATATTGTACTTGACCTAATATTTCAGCTCGGGTACCAGCACTTGTTTCCGGGTATGCCACACCGCAGAGTGAAGCGTGAGGGGTTTTTGGGAATAGACGCCAATGACGGCACAGAAGCTAGGGCAGAACCTCCCATAATCTTGGCTCCATATAGATCGAGATCGTGACTGGATCCTGAGAAATACGTTGAATTGATTGTTCAAACTGAGCAATGTTCTCTCCTAAGTGTATGTTGAGCATGCCATAATAGAATGTAGTTTCTCAATTTGAACTAGCAGGGAATGAAGCATAACATAAAGCGAGTAGATATTGATATCAGAGAATGCATTAGATTCTCTAGTCCTTATTTATGCAACAAGCTGTTGTTGGCTTTTTCGTTCCCACAAACTCATTGAGCCAAGTAGAACCCTCCATAGCCTCCACCATTCATATTTGTATTCATACATGCACCATTTATCTCTATACGAACCTTTTAGCCATCCTTAACTCCGCGCTAAACCGATCAGAGAAAGCAAAGCAGAGCATTACCACTAATCAGTAATTCCATAACACCTTGTTGTGGAGCGCTCGCGAACCCAAACGTTCAAACTCCAATTGCCCAATC